TTAGTAACCCTACCGTAAAAACTTATCTCCACCCCAAACCATCGACCTCCAGCCTCCGTGATTCCATTCGATTTCCAACCTCCCGCCTTTCCCGCCCTGGCTCGCGTGACTTCTGATGCTTTTCCGTCTACGCGTCTTTCGTACGCGCGAACAAACGACTTCAGCCGCGTCTACGACGTTCCTGTTCTTCCGCGAACGACGGGCTAGAATTACGGAACGCGACTTCCCGGAAAGGGTTGCTGCACGCTTCGAGCATCGCGGAGAGGAGCTTTTTCGCGGGAGCCTATCGCGGCGGAAATTCGACAACCAAACGCCGCGAATCCCTAATTCCGAAACCCCCGCGCGCGCCCCGCCGCTTTAGTTTTACGATTTTTCCAACGCTCGACACGGACTGGCGACTTTCGTCGTTGCGATCACCGACGGCAATTCTAGCGAATAAACACTCGAGATTTTCGTTATTGCCTATCGAGGGTGTATTCCACTCTGGAACGCAATTTTTTACTTTGGAATTTTTCAGGGGAACGGTGAAATATTTTTGAATTAAATTTGGACGCAAATGTTCGAAGAATATTCAACAATTTTTTTCGTGCAAAAAGATTAATATTTTTAGAGTTACGGTAGCGTTGGCAAAGGTCCTTCGAAAAGGGTGCATGATTGCTACGATTGACGTCGTTATAGCTAGAATTAGAATAATTAAAAAATGGAAACTAGACGTTTGACTTTAGATTCGAAGAATCTATTTTCTGTGTTAATTACTGTGTTTAATAATTTGATATATTTAATGATGTTTAGATATGAACATACTCAAAAGCTATTTTTCTGCTTCGTGTTTTTCAATTTTTTTAATAAAAATAGTATTCTGCCCTGTATTCAAACATGATATTAGGACTAAGATTTACAAAACGGTGTGTGAACTTCACTATTTAAGACTCGAACCACGTAATCAGGCTAGATTACACAAAAATGCATGGGTTTTCACCGGATGGAAAAGATTAAATATGAAATAAACGGAAGGAAGAATTGAGTCCACAACTTCTTAGCTGAATACTAAATTTTTAAGGAAGGAACATAGTGACATGAAAAGTTACATTAACATTTTAAACACTTCGTCGATAGAAAATTTGAAAAAATTAGAATTAAAGGTAACGGGTACCATTTTTAGAGACAAAAGAACTGGATCAGAGTAAACAGTACAGTCATTGGCTCTTTAAGGAAGAGTGTCGCTTAAATCGTGTAATATTAATTTTAATTTAGTAAATTTGAAAATAAAATCAACATAAACAGTTCTAACAATTAATAAATTTGTGCAAAAAAGATTTACAATAAAAACAAAAATGAAAAAATTGTAAAGAAACATAGTTATTGGTCAGATCAACATAATGATCCACTCATTCGACAGTGATTGGCTGTTGCTTTTGGTAAAATAAATTTATACCAGTTTTTTCTGTCTACGGATATTTTTTCAAATTATAGCGTAACAAATACAAATATTCAATAGTTCAATGAAGTACTTCTAATTTTGTAGTATTCCTAACTAATGACATTATTAAAAAATATATATGTATTAAGAGTCATTTATTGTAAGCGTTTTAAAAACACGTAAAATTGAAGTGACGGTCACCGGTGACCACCATGGCAATCAACGTGTAAATACGATCTTAATCTTTTTATTATTCCCTCTATAAATCAATTTGAGAGTTACATGTGTCGTCAATACTAATAAATGCATTAAAATGTCTTTGAATTATGAGCACCGTTCAAATACACTGTAAATTGAAAGATTCGCAAAAAACCATTCTATCACTTTATACTCTTAATTGTAAGTGACTAATTATTACATCTACAGCGATAAAATACAAGGAATTTGAATATGGCTGTAGAATAAAATAAATTATTTCTTAACACGTTCCACGTTTAAAAATGTCCACGAGATTCGTTAAAATGATAGCGTGAAAAATAGAAATATTCGATGGTTTAATCAACATATCTACTATTTCCCATCTCCAAAGGCAATGAGGTTATTTGCAATTGCGCGAGTATTACAATTTTACAACCTGTTATAAATTTGAAGTGACGGTCACCGGTGACCACCATAGTAGTCAACGAGTAAATGTTCCTTCGTTTTTAAAATAGGGCCAAATCGCTGGTGGCTGACGACTGTACCGTTTACCCCTAGAATGTGCCCGACCGCGTCGATCACAGAGTCGAGTCGAAGAAGTCGATGGTCAGCAAGCGGACCGGCACTCTCGGGTCGGAAGTGAACGTCCTGGGGACCGGATACAAACATTAGGGGTTGGCGGGCGGTCCTCTCGTTGGGACTCAAGTTGTCGGAGCAGCCGGACAACGCGTGGTCGTCGGACAAAGCTCTTCTAATTGTCCCCATCAACGACGAAGAATGGACCGCGGGCCTGCCGCTGACAATTTCATTTGTAATTTGCATAAGGCTTATTAAAATCACAATGGACGTGGACCCGCGGGGATGCTCGATCGAGGTGGCCGCTGGCTTCTTTTTTTTTTTTCTTTTTCTTTTTTTCGGTCAGCCCGATAGAGAATAATCACGGGCCACCGCGGCGCTGGTAATTGAACTTTAATAAGAAGCAGGACTCGACTCGGCTGCCCGTAAGAAACAAGGCAAGGACGCCTGTCCAAAGCTACGGATCACCGACGAGCAACAAACGACCGATATGAAAGAAATTTATTATCGAAACTTACTTCGGAGATGGACGATCCAGCAGGTTGTCTTATCCATGTATATCCGCTGGGTCACACTTCAACACACTATTGCACTTGAAACTTTTCAACTTTTAAAATCGACCGAATTTACTTTTATTTATCGCCTATCAACCCTCGAGCGTCGAACGTTAACGTTAATCAGTCAATGAAACTTCTCCAACTCTTGATAGCAATCTAAATTTGTTATGCTAACGGCGGACGTTCGAGGGGTTGATAAATTATGAAATAAAAAAAAAAAAAAACAATCGAGAACAGAATGTAGCGTTTTTTTTATCAAAACCGAGAAAATTTATCAGTTATCGTCGCGGTAGCCGCGAGATTAAAGCGTTGTTGACGAAAGAAACATTATAGACGCGGAATTGCAACGTCGATGTTTCCTTTTCGCGAATACGCGACATCGATAAGATTTCTCGTTTCCCGAAATGTGTCGCGCACGTGAAAGACGGCGCGGAACTGAACCATCTCAAAACGTTATCATATCGCGCGCCGCCACATTCCCCCACCAGTTTCTACCAAAATGCGTCTACGCATCTCTTATTCGCACAGCGAGGAGAAAAAAAATCATTCGAAAGCGCTTGCAAACGGGCTGTCTCTGCTTTCATCGACAAAAGCAAATCGAGCAAGATTAAAAAAAAAAGAAGAAAATATATCAACGAAAGCACAGAGTATTACATTGTTAAATATAGTTTATAGGACTTTTATTATATTTATCTTAACACCGTTAATGCGTAGGATCGTTTTAACTCGGGAATCTGTTGAATGCAAAACAAATGTAATCAGATTCTTTAAATTGAGAATTATACAATATTTATTCTTACGAAAATTTCCTTGTCTCTTTAGACGTTCGAATCATATCAGCGATTCCATGTAAACAGAGATGTCGAATAATAAAACAAAGTACAATGAAAAAACACAAAACTGGATTATTTTCTTTTGGCATTTTTTAAAACGAACATTTACTGTTTCGTTTGCTCGCTTTCTATGGATCAGTGCCTGACTCTGGGACAGCTGTTCTCCCAAACGCAAGCACGATTCTCGTCACGAACGTATCCCTCTTCGCAAATACAACCGTCCATACAGCTTTTTGCCCGGGTACAGGGTCCGGACTCCCAGATATCGATGTTATCGCAGGCCTTTTCGCACGACGGATCCGCCTCGCAGACACTGTAAACTTCATTTTTGCCGCAACTGGTTACGATCTGCGCTTTATCGGGTCCTTAAACGTTAAAAATAAAAGTCTACTATTCGGCGGTTGTGGATTTTCATAGAAATTAAAACAACAACTTACTGTAAAGTATCGCTCCCGTGATCGTTTCTGGACACACAACCAGAAAGAAACTGATCGTGATATAATGCACGCGTGACAGCTTCATTTTGATCGAACCACTAAAGAACGAATGCAAGCACCAATCGTGGCGACGTAGCTTTAAATACGCGCGAACGTGCACAGCATACATCCAGAACAGCGTATGATATCAACGGGAGAACCAGTTTCAGTCGCACGCGTGGGAAACGTTCTCAAAACGGCGAACTTCGTGAATGACGCATCGGGGAAATAGACAATAAAACAAAGAGCCAACGCGCGAATACCAAACTAAGTACATATATGCGGACCGGATATTTTTCTTTTTTTTTTTACAGACGTTGAAGAAAGGCGACAGAAAAACGCTACATTTCTGTTCTCGTGTTTATGTATTTGTGGATCTTTGAATTGTACAGTAACTCGTTTACATACAACATATATAAGTGTCTTACTAGGTAAATTACTTGTATGATATCTTAAAATAAGTATTCGTAATAAAGAAGGAGCGAGTCGTAATAAACGGGTGTACCGAAACAAAGCGACGTGGGAGAATCCAAAGTCGCTCTCAACGTGGGGGAGGGAGAGAAACTAAATTTCCCTACTAAAGGAGTCTCTTCTTCGTTTGCGCCGGTGATTCGCGACTCGAAACCGATGAAATCCGTAAATGATACAGGTTTTCTTTTATTCCAAGCGCAAGGAGGAATCGGATACGTGGCGTATCGACGTTAAAAATTCGCAAATGGATTCGCGAGAGAGAAAAAAAAAGAAAGAAACACAAATTTCAACCGGTGTACTCGTAACTTGCAACGGTTTCTCGTCAAAACAGCGATGGATGGTCTCTAGTCTCCTGATAATGAATGATAATGAAAAGCCACTCGCATATACGTGAAATATACTGCGACCAAATACTTCCCTTCGAATATGCGCGCCACAGCAGAAGCCTCGTTTTTTCGTTTTTATTATCCTTAATACTTACGCGACTGTTCCGTTAAAAGCAACAAAAAAAAAGCAAAAAAAAAAAAACAGAAAAAGAAGAAAAAAAAATCCCGACGCTACGATGCGAAAGTAAGTACTAGAGTCGAAATACATGTAAAATTATTTTCGCTAATGATAAAGAAAGAAGAAAACGTTAATGGGGAGTTCTCGAGAGTACTCGTTTTCGCGTGAAACAAACACGCTACACGTTCGATCCGCACGAGAAACTCGATTACACGCATTTCTTTTACTACGAATATTTACCACGTACGTAGATATTCGTTGCACGGTTATGACGATCGAGTGAAACGGTTCGCTAACTTGTGATCCTCGTCGGTGTAAAACTATCATACATTCGCTTGTGCCTGATAGAAGCTAAAATGTGAAAGCAAATAAGCTGTCATTTCTCTAGATCGTCATAGCAACCGGGTTTACATCACACTTCTCTACGATATCCCCTTCTTGACATTAGTTTTCTCTTTTTTCGTTTAAATGTACCGAGTAAAATCGTTCGGTACAACAATATTAAGAAGTCTATGCCTCACGTGATCCGGTCGATGTCTAACGCCGAGGAAAAGTGTAATTATATCACAGACGAAGGAGAAGAATCGAAGCAGCAGCGGCGACGGGGCTTTCTACCAAATCTTAGCGGCAAGGGCTCTCTGCATTAAAACATTCTTGCTTCGCTGCTTCATGCGCTCAATGAAGTACTCCTTGCCGTCCAGGTTATCGCTGGCAGGTCCAACCTCCTCATTCTAGCAACAAACGAGAGTTAGTTGGCTCCTAGGTCGCATGTTTCTTGCACGTGTGGCTCATCACCATCATCATCATCATCTTTTATCATCATCATTATCCTCATCATTTACTCCTGATATTATCATCATCCGGATTATCATGATCGTCATCGCGAAGACAGGCTGTTGTTTCGCGATAGCCTACGCAGAAGAGACCTAACCAACCTTGTTAGCTGTGTCGCCCCCCTCGCCCTCTCCCCACCTCTCGTAGTCATCGTCATCCCTTTCTTCGCCCTCGCTCAAAGGTCCATCTTGCCTCTTGCTAGGAGGAACGTTCGATCCTCCGCCACTCTGCTGGTGCTCCATCACGTCGTCGCCACCCTCGAGCATTTTGTTGATCTTCTCTTTCGCTTCGTCGACCTTTCTCATCGGGTCGGGAGAGTAACTACGATCGCTGTATCGATCGCGAGAGGCGGCGCGACGGTCACGGAAGTCTCGTCTGTCCCGGAAGTCGCGGAAGCCCTGCTTACCGTGGAAGAATCTGCCGCCACGATTACCGCCGCGTCCGCGTCCGCCGCCGCGATTGTTGAAGCCACCGCCGCGTCTGTTGCCAAACCGATTGTTGTGCTGATTGTTGTAAAACCGATTACGATTCTGGAAGTTGTTACCGCCGCCACGATGATTCGGATTGTTGAAGCCCTGGAAACGCGGCTTGTAATAAGTGCCGCGGTTGTTGTACGGCCGGAACTGCCTCTTGCGATAGTAACTCCTGTCCCCAGACCTGCTGCGACTGCGACTCCTAGTGTACGATCTGGAGCGTGACCTAGAGCGTGACCTACTGTAAGTGCCTGACGGAGAACGGCTGTATTTCCTCTCGTAACTGCCGGATCGTCGATTCGAGTACGATCGCGAACGACTTCTCCTAGGCGACCGTGATCTCGATGAGCCTGAACTAGATGCACTGCGAGATCTGCTGCGCGAACGTTTCGCCGGACGGTCCCTGCTCATTCGTTTGGTCACTGCTCCTCTGCCAGACGACTCGCGTTTCTTCGGCGTCTGTCTGTGCTGCCGTTCCGCTTCGCTGTCAGAATCCGTTCTAGGTCCTTTGGCCTGGTTCTGACTCTTCGTTGGTGGAGGCGGTCGCGGCGGTTCCGGTGGATGACCAGCGCCGCTGTTACTTTGCCCGATTGGCTGGAATTTGCCACCGAGATTGTTACTAGAACTGAATTTACTAGGTACTGCTTGCGCTGTGGATAACGAAGGGTCCTTGTATGATTGGAACTTATTCTGTGGTTGTGGCGTGGGATATTTGACTGGCGCCTGTTTAGGAATCGGTGGCTCTTTGGGCAACGGCGGTGGAGTCGGCGCAGACATAGGCTGAGCAGCTGCCGCTCTCTTTTCTGCGAGTTCTCGTTGCATTTGTTTCCGGATGTTCATCGATTTCTCAAGGGCAGCGCGCTGCAACTTCTCTTCTAGCTCGTTATCGTCGTCTTCTTCGCTGTCTACGTTCGGTTGCATTTTTTTACTTTCCATAGATACGTCTTGCCATTTTTGCGGAATAATATCCTTTTGCCTAAACAAACGAACAATGATATTCAGACAGTGACATATATTTTGCGTTCATACAAAATTCGATACTCGTTATTGGTCATTTCTCTTACCTAGCGGCCTGTGCAGCTTTCCATTTTGCATTTAACGCGGCTGTATCCAGAGTTGGTAACTTTGGCTCGGGATGAATTAACTGAGATTCCTGCTCAAATATGTCCGTTAACGGTTTCCTTTGTATTTCTGCAGAAAAAATTTAAACCACATGATATTAGATCGAATTTAAAATACTTCCGTTCTTACAAGTTGTGGGATGTTACCTTTGCGTTGCTGCGCGGTCATCGGCATTCTAGATTCCCGTTCGTGATACGCTTTCGAAGCTTCATCTCTCTCCCTTTCCCTCTCTCTGCGCAGCTCCTCCTCCCTTCGTGAACTCTCAGCGAGCTTCTCCGCGTTGCTAAGAGGGGAAGCTATGTCATTATACTGTGCTACATACCTAGTGAATATAAAAACATAAATAAAATACGGTATGTTATAGACCGCGTTTCCATTCATGTTTCTTTATAATTGTGTAAATTCCGGGTAAATTAGCTAATGAAATATGAATAGAACGTAACATTTCAAAATGACACCGATGCCCTACACGGCCACGAAAACGTTCAGAACGGTGAAAGTATTTTATGAAAATAATAACAATAACAAAAACAAAATGTTGTGTACTGGCCATAAAGGTTCCAACCTTTTCAAGACAGCGGTCTCTTTTTCAACTTTCGCATAATACGCATTCAGTTTTGACTCCAATTGTTCCAAGTCCGGCAACGAAGACTTTTTCAGTGCTTCTAAATCCCGTTCAAGTTTGTCCTTATTTTTACGTTTCTTTCGCTCCTCTTTCTTCTTCTTCTTGCGACTTTTCTTATCTTCCTTCTCCTTGTCCTTTCCTTTCTTATCCTTTTTCTTCTTTTTCTTCATTTTCTCACTTTCCGAATGTTTCTTTTCCTTCTCTCTTTCCCTCTTCCATCTAGCTGTTTCTTCCAAAAACTTTCTTACCTAAGAGCACGAAAAATTCGATGAAGAACTCGCTTACTTTTACAGCCAGATAAAAATGCTATAAACGAGTCTTAATTCTAAAAGGGACATGATCCGATGTCAGTTTTTCTTTTCAAGTGGATGTATGAAAGAGATATATAAAACAATTTTTTAACCATCATTCCACGTGGCCCAACATTAAATCGAGCGTTGTGCATTTGAATATTTTGTAAATCACAACTATCACTTAATTTTCAATTTCAATATCGTTCAAGTCACTATCACCGCTAGTTTCGGATTCACTTTTGAAAACTTTATCGACGATCGCAATTTTACTTGTCGATGTTATCATTGCTAAGATTAAACTAATCATTGGACCGTTTGTATATAAAATTCTTATCGCAACTACAAATAAATAGGACTCTTCTAACTGATGGTGGGGTCCGTAGCAATCTCAGAAACTTCAGAAAACAAATAAGACTGAAGAAACGCTCTCGCGAGATATGATTCCGTTTATGGTTTGGGTTAGGTTAGGTCAGGTCATACAATATGTGGCATGACGTCGCAGTTAACGCGTGAACATTGAAAGTATCGATAACTGCGCATGACATAGCAATTCAAGGATATAATTCCAATACTTTGGTAGCTGAATGTTTAGGTAATTATTAATTTTAGAATAAATATACTTTAATGCTGAGAATTTATTACTCTTTCGAATTCTATTATAAAAAAATAGGAAGTTGTCCTTCAAAATCTCAGAACAACATTCACGCGATAAGACATGTTTTAAATATTTCTATCTACTACCGGAAGTAAACGAATTATGTAGGTGACTAGTACCAAATACACTCAAGTGGGCACTACTACATCTCATCTTGTATAATAAGTAGATACCGGTAAGTATATCAAGAAAATATTTAATGCTTACCTTATCTTCATAATCGGAGTCGTCCTTGGTTTGTTCTAAAAATTTCCGCACTTTTATCTCGTAGTCGTCCATCTTATCGCGAGCATTCGAGCTGTAGGCTACTGGTGCTATGACGTCATGCGCGGCAGTTGTAGCAGCTGGAGGATTGTTGTATTGAGCCATACGTTTGCTGAGAGGCGAAAGCGAACCACGATGATCTTTCTTGTGTTTCCGTTTGCGACTAGGCGATCGGGACGCCGACCGCGAGCTTCCGGACGAAGAGGAACTGCTGGACTCCGAGCTCGAGGAACTCGAGGATCCGCTTGACGACGAACTAGAACTCGAACTCCACCTTTGTCTCTTCTTCGATCGCGATTTCCTCTCCTTCTTGCGTTTCTTCTTCTCCTTTTTATTTTCACCGACATCGTTTTCATTTTCGAAACTTTTGAACGTGTCCAGAGGATTCAAAGAGGACGTCAGGGTCTTGGACTTAATGTACTCGATGGAGATCCTAGCATCTTCGTGATACGGGGCGATAGCCAAACAGTTCTCGTACGCTTTTTGCGCGTCCTCGTACTTCTTCTCGTCTTCGTAGCTTCGTCCCAAGGCAACGAGCGTTTCTGCCATATATTTGCGGGCGTTCGCGTGGGTTTGATTCAACTTCAACGCTGTCTCGAAATCCTCGATCGCTTTCTTGAAACTGCCGCTGTTGGCGAATCTGTTGCGACAAAGAGAGAGCATGGATTGAGCAAGCGCGCACGGATAGTAAAATTTAATTCGCCCATTTAAAATCAGGCAACTTACAATGCTCCACGGGCCACTAGTCCTTCGACGTTTCGTGGATCTACAGTAAGTGCTTTGTTGAGACACTGGAAAGCCTCCGTATGGCGGCCGACCTTGAAATGATCTATACCTTCGGCCACACTTCGGAACGCCCACTTACTAGCCTGCGCCTGCCTTAATTCAGACGCATATTCATTAGGTAGGAATTTTTCTCTGTAAAGGGGTATTTCATAATTATAGTAGATGAAGTAATGTTTTAATCGCATACAAAGATTTTTAACCAAAATTCAATATCTTACCTTAAACCAACCATATTCGAATGGTTTTCTTGACCGAGACCCATCAAGTCAGAAAGATATTTAATGTTGTTTGGGTTGTTGAAGCCAGTACTATTCTCCAACATCACTTCATACGGTTGACCTTTGTTCTCCATCGCTTTCCTATACCACAAAGAGAGACGACCGATTATCATCAATATGCAAAGAACGTTTTGACCTTCGCCAAAAAGAGGATACCAAAGCTACTCCGTTAACGGTAAAACTAAAGACTTGATAATCATGACGACCGAATTTTCATTGTATGTCCTCTGTTTATTATCCTGGTTGAGGAATTTTCTCAATACGATCGTATGTTTTGCCCCTTCAGTTTATTTTTTCGACATCTCGTCGTCTTATCTACAATTATACATACTAATATGCATGTCCTTTTTGTTGTTGTTCCTTACACGCATATTAAACGTGCGGCACACACCCTTCATCATTTCGTTCATCCCTGCGCAATGATTTCGCCTCTTCTCTTCGATCTCCATGAATTATTCAACGATACGACACTAATGCCAAAGATGCTTCGGAGGAAAAGGAATTCTTCCATGTGGAAAAAAGAGAGAGAGTTAATCAAACACCTCATGGTATTAGAGTCGATCAAAATCTACGTTTGTACCGTTAACAAGCAGCAGGGGTCCAAAACAGGGATACTTTGCAGAAAGTTGGTAAGTTTCCTTTATTACCAGAGATAATTTCTTATTTATAAATTTACAATGGTACACAACCTCATTATTATGTAAACTCGTCTCTCACCTTTCATGTACCGCTAAGACGTATATTTCTAGTATTTTGTATCATGTTTGTAATCAGAGGATTTCTCAACACAAAAGCACACAGCCTATCATCAATCGACGGTGGTTTGGTTTTTTTTTAAGTTTTTGGTGCGATAAAATAAATTGCATAGCCCTAGGATAGGTTGGGAGCCACGCCTGAGTATATTTTATCTTCCAAGTTGACCAAAAAAATTTTTTTTTAGATGTAGTAGTACTGTCGCCTGTTTTGCATTTTGTGGTGTCAATTCAAACATGACATCATTTTTTTTATATTTTTTATTTGTCAATTTAAGCTGTAAGTTTAAATGAGGCATTATTATGACAAGGCGCGATTCTTTTGAGGCTTAAAGGTAAAGGTTCGGGCGATTAAGATTTTAGTTGTTTGGTCCCCGCATTAAAATTTTATTGAATTGCACAAGTTTTCGCAGTATTTTACTTCATTGCGTAACGCATTACACATATAAATTATTTCGATAACTCATTGATGAATAATGCAATTAAAATATTTATTAAAATTTAACGATAATTTATTTGTTGCAGCAGTTTCTTATGGAGACGTTTCAAGAATCAATTACACACTCTTTACCTATTTTATTATCTTCTTCTACCTTTATCATAAGAGACCAAACAACAATAAATCATTATTATACCTACCGTCTGCAGCACTCACTCTGACCACCCAAGGCTCAACATCTCATACTGGAAATGCAACCTCAAAAGACATTGATGTCATTGGCGCCATAGTTTGGCTGGTGCTTTGAGAGTAACATATCACAAACGTAGATAGAATATTGTGCGCAACAGAGCCATGTCAACCAATGCTCAAGGTTTGAATCATTTGTATCACATTATAAATTCATCATCATACTGACTATCAACTTTACGTTACTGAGAGTGTCTGGCACCTAAATTCATAAAAACGTGTAAGAGGAATCAAATCTAATTTACCTTGTTTTGTTAGTATCACAGTGCATCTGTTAAATCTCAACTTCTGTTGGCCACCATACCATTTTCCTTACCTTCTATTTAACGAAAAATATTAAAGAAAACAATAAAGATGCAAGAAATCTGCACTCTCACTTATTATGCAAGTTACGAATAATTTAACTACACTGTCGATAGAAGATGCATTTCAACCACGATTCAGATTATACCGATCCTAAGTTCAAAGCTATCATTGTCAGAAAATATACCCCCTCCTTGTCATTGTTAGTGCAAGAGTGCTCTCAAATTATATTGCAATAAACAAATGATCAGAGAACGATTTTCAATTCAAATAAAAATGTTCAGTCAAAAGTGCTACAGATGCATCACAAAACACTTTTTACCATTTGTATTGTGTATATAAAATTCCCTATAGTGATATTTATTTCAGTTTACAAGAGTTAGTGAAGCATTATTGTAAAATACAAGGAATAAATGTACTTATCCAGATTTTGTATTACTTACTTATAAGCTTCCGGAAGATCATCTGAATGGATAAGTCCCATAGGTGGGTGTGGGGCTTGCCCTTCTCGGGCAGGTACGTTCATAACTGCAACAACTCGCTCGGCTTCTACGTTAACTTCACTGGCTACGATGCAGATGAGATCATTTGCCATGTAGCCTCTTGCAACACCTTTCTTGTCCACCGCCGGCACTGTGGCCGTGTTCAATATCAGAGCCTATTACGTAATATCATTTTAGAAACCAAAGGGACACATTTCTGTAAGCGACTATAAATATCTTTAACGTACCTTAAGTCCTAAATCGGTAACAACCCTGGGGCAGTCGCTGCAGTTGCAAAGCACCTTCAGAAGAAGCCCAACAGCACTTTTACCCATTACTTGCGCGTAAATAACATCTCCAACGACCAAACTCTGGAAACAGGATTTTCATTATATTATTTTGATTTTATTAAGTACTTTTACGTACATTGTATTAACATAATGATTACTCACCTCCAAAAAATTACGAATGCGTTGGGATTTTTCCATGGTAACAAAAGTGTCAAGTCCTGGCATTGTTGCATAAAATTCTGAAATAGCACATGTAACTCATGAATTGCGCAATGTTACATAACCTAAAAAGAACTAGTAGAGATGTCACATGTTCGAAAAAAGCGAAAAAATTTCGAAAGATCCGAACGCTTCAAAAGAAGCCAAACTACATTAAATAAAAAATGAACTATTATCTTTAAAAAAAAAAACAGCGATAACGCCGGTTACCGCAAGATAGTAATCTGAAACTATATCTTTCAAGTCTATTCAACCAATAGAATAAACCAGATTCGTCTGAAAAAAAAACATTTCTTTGGTTTTCAGTAGCGTAAACTTAATTTTGTTTTGAAGCGTCTTGTTGCGAATAACGTGAGTTCCAAGTATGAAAATGAAAAGTGAAAATATTGATAAAGTGTAAAAGTGTTTGAACTGCTTAATTTCTTTTGAATCGCTCAGGATCTATTGAGTTATCGGTTCGAATTGGAAATCAAAGTTTTGGTTCGGTGTATGCAGTTTGAATTTCGAACATTACAACATTTCTATTAAACAAGAATGAAATACGATTAAAACTGTACCTTCGTCTCCTAATTCTTGCTTGATAGGTTCAACTGTTTTCTCCAAATTTGACTTATCATAGAGAGCATCCGCTTTCTTTGCAACAAATTGTTGTAGCTTTAGCCTTTTCCCTCTATCGCCAAAACTGTTAAAAAATTACTGAAGTTGTAACGCATGCTTTGCTTATATTTTTTTTAGTTGGATTAAAAAATGCAGTAGTTATTCAATATTACATTTTTGAATAGAAGTCGTATTAAGCAAGATGCTCGATCTTAAAATTTTACCACGCCTTATTCTATACGTGTGATCAAATACTTTCATATTACCAAAAGTATTTTGTAATCCAACTATAGCATGATGATTTATAAGCATAATCAAATATATATACCTAAGAGTTTTTTGCCGCTGTTGATAGATCTCAAAATTTGGTTCCTTGAGATTGAGCATGGCCAGCTCGTTCTCGTTGCGTTCTCCTTCCCACACTTTCTGCAACTGTTGGCCATGGTAGTTCAATGCTTGCGCCACAAGACGCGCATCCATTGATTCCATTTTGATTCAGTACTGCAAGCAACCTAGTCCTGCAATACTATGAAAATCGTCGGATTCGTAATGTTTTTCCACTTGCAACGTTCCAAGATACTATCCAAATCAATAGGTAAGACTTTAATAGCTGCCTCTCCGGCCAACTATGCCCGAAATTGGCATGCAAAAAAGGATCACTGTCCAACAGCCAAGGACACGTGTTTTTTGTAATGAATAAACTGCTATCTCTCCACGATGTTATATCCAGAAAATTCTGGTATTGCAACTGGCTGAATGTTCGGTCGAATGCTAGCGGTGCAAACGTATCGGTCTCGTACGGGTTTCAGAGGACCGTGAGTCATACCTCCAAAAGAGGGTGATATTCTGCGCAAGAACGCGCTTCGACACAAAGCGAATTACCAATAACCGGTTCGCATAACGATTTACCTGTAGCCGTTGATATTCCTCAGGCGAATCGTAACAACGACGTAATAGAACAAATCCGTCGAATATTCTTTATATGCAAGAAAAACGCTTACGCAGGAGAAAGGCGCGTTATATTGATTTATCGATAACAAGATGGTCGTCGGGAAGCCGGATTGCGAAGGCCAACGGCGCCATGACGCTCCCAAATGGCCACCTCTTTTATTCCGACGCTCATCCACGCCAGTTTTTCAATATGGGCATACCAGACCAGCCAAAAAAGAACCCGGATTATTACTCACCGTTGCTCCCGTATTATCTTCCGACGATCTGTTAACGTGTTTTCCAACTATATCACGGTCCACTATGTAACATCGTTGACGATTAAACAACTGCGTGCTCGAATTTCGCCATACGCCGCACACAAGTCACGATTACGACAGACCGGAAACGAATAGCCAGCGACGCCTGCGTAAAATAATCTTCCCCCACCTTCATGTCCACGGAGACCACGGAGTATTGAACAATATATTACTTCCTGTTTGGCGGTTCATTTTGAAATAATATATTCATTTCCTTAATAAAAAAAAAAAGGAACTTGGTTTAATTTGAAGAATTATGTTAACGAATTATTAGATTTTAGGTTACTAAAAATAATAACGAATTAACTTTTATATTTTATCTTTATTTGCAGATTTTGTACATAACATTTGGTTATGAATAATTCATAGTAAAATTTACAATAACGCGACACATTAAAGAAATATTCTTGTATCAATTTCAAAATATTAAACCGCTAAAATTTTCAGGAGTGGTGACCCAATCCTTTTTAAAAAAAAGTATTTCTGTTTGCTGGAATCCTATTAGGTTATGTTTGAATATTCTTCGTGAAAATAAATTTTCTATCTATTTCATAATTTTAGTACCAGATTGCTAGTTGTTCGATTTATTATTTCTTATTTCTGTGTTCTTGGGGAGGATTGATCAAACGTTTTGTCAATATCTACTTAATAATTCATTTATTGAACCTTCTTTGGTTTCTCTTCTTTTGTTACATGTACATTCCAATAGTAGAAAATTTGAAATACTAATACAGCATTTGCAGCTGCACAGCATATGTACATTATTATCATTGTCATGTCTCCTGTTTCATGAATAGATGTAAAAATTCTAGCTAAGGATCCAAATAATAACATTACACTAGTTGCTGCCGATAGTTGACCAGTACTTCTATAAGTATAGTTGGTGTAGGCTTGCATTAACTAAAACAGTTCAAAATATTAATAACTCTCTCTTTGTGCATATATTACATAATGACCTTCATTTTAATCGTACCTTACTGGCTAGAACAATGGGTATATTCATTGCTTGGCATGCCCAGATGACACTCACTGGAGTCAAACCACTTAAAGCAGCAAATAATACTGCTAAGTAAGTGGCAAGAAATGCAGTTGCTTGGGTAGTATTACCACTGAAATGCATTACTAAAACTGCAATAGCTAAAGTTTGCACCCCTACAAAAAGTCCATCTCCCCAGGAACTGAAACACATTAACTAATTTATTCAGTCAGATTTACCAATTGCATTAATTGTTTATTTTTGTAAATTGCCTTACCTAAAGGGGAAACCATTAATAAAACTATAACATATCATTGCAGTACTGACAAAAAGGTCCAACAATACACTGAGAATATTAATACCTTTTGCACTTTTACTCTCAAGAATTTTTACAATTTGTGGAACTTTGACTAAAAACAGAAATGGATATTAACAAAATAATATCATGTAAAGTAATATTTCGGATTAATATTTATAGCAGGTACCATGATGCCTAAAGTTAAAATGTATAATCGAGAAGTATCATAAATGCAAATATAAGTAAAAATAAATGGTCTAACCAAGGAGAGATCCGCTGATGATTGTGTAGTCTAAAGCTCTGCTCAGCGTCGTTTTGAAGCATTCCACTGAAACATATTGAAGAGTTTCATGTTTTACTTGAACAGGTTCATATCTATTTCGGAAAAAATTCATCTTCGATTTCTATCTTCGTAACGGAATAATGACTTCTAATTTACCATCGAAAAAAAATATGAACATCGTCGTGCGCTCGTTACAAAAGCATTAATTCGATTAATCGAAAATTGAATACAACTGTAAAATATTTAATCATGATTCTACGAAGAATTAAAGATTGTATACAAATGTATGCATATAGCAGATGAATACAAAACAATATAAAAAGTTAAAATTACACTACACGTATTAACTCTCAGATAAAAGCATAATTAATAATCTTTGATAAGTAGAGGACTTTCTTACCGTGAAAGAAATTGAACTCTTCGAAATATTCTTCCGCACATTCTTTCGTGAGCAATAAGAGAGAAGCCTCTTTCACTAAATTAGCCATATTTGCCACGGTATACGTTTTAACACACTACCTTAAGGAATGTACAAAATCACTTCTGTTCAGTGATGCCAGAAAAGCACCGTCGGGTACAAACTCACACATGCCAGATACGCGTACGTGAGCTCGTGGAGTTTCGGAAAGACGACAAAGGCAAACTGACGCATGCCCTCTTTCTCGATTCTCCGAAGCTGCCCGAAGTAATTTCGGATCTGCGTCTACATAGGTTGGAAAGTAAAAATGCCTGGGCAGTCGAGAATCCAAATCGTATGCCGTTGACGAGAGGTCGGATTTCAGTTGTTTAGAGCGAGAAGGCAAATGTGAGCCTTTCTCTCTCGACTCCCACGAGCTGTCCGAAATTACTTCGGGCAGCTTCGGAGAATCGAGAAAGAGGGCATGCGTCAGTTTGCCTTTGTCGACTTTCCGAAACTCCACGAGCTCACGTACGCGTATCTGGCATGTGTGAGTTTGCACTCGACGGTGCTTTTCTGGCATCACTGCTTCTGTTAACTACCGTTAGCGTTAGGTTAATATCACAGACGAAATACATTGATGCATATTATAGTCAACACACATTTCATCTTTCAGGATTAGTGCCACGAACTAAGATACCAACCTCGTAAAAAAGTCGGTGTTTTAGAGCGACCTCTTCGCTTAATGAACGGTGAGTTCGAGAACTATAACGAACTCGACCTTTAAATCATTTTTTACACAGTAGATACGTTCCAAAGGAAACTATAAAAAAAGTTTTATCTAAGGAGAGATATTGCTTATGCTAAAATGGAGAATTTGCACTAAAGGTTCCAATACCGTTTAAAAAGAAAAACAGAACTGTTTAGAAAAGAAGGTTTTAATAAACCGTGCAGAAAAAATATTTATGAAAATTCAAATGTATCAGTTTTTAACATTTCACATTTTGGATTATGGTTATAGATGGCCAATTTTTATGGAGGTTTTCTCATTTTACGGGGTTAAAGAACAACTTTTCCAACCCCCGCATTCTAAAATTATTTTTTCAGAATAATTTAAAATTCTTTAATTTCATCGAAACATTTGTCCACCTATCGATTCTTCTTAAAAATTCGTTTTTGATTTTTAATAAATTTGTTTGACGCTGTACAGAAATGTTGTTTAATACTTTTTGTAAGTATTCATGCTCTCTAGTTTATAAATAAATTTCAATGAAATACATTGACTATTGTAGAAGTTATGGTCTTTTATTATTTATTATCTGGATTTTAATCATTTCAAACGATTTATTTATTCGTAAACTGTTTGACAACTATCAAAACTTTAATACTTCTATTCTATTTCTGTTTATAATATTTAGGAATGGAATTTTTACATCCTTGAGGTCCTGAATTTGTTTTATGATTTTCTGTTAATCTATCCCTTTCAGCTCTTCTAAATCCGCTGGATGAGTCGCCTAATTTATATTCCACACAGTAATATGAATTCTATAATTTAAAAATAAATATAAAAATTTGTTACTTTTTTTTATGAAATACCGTGTTCTTTGAACAATATAACAGATACATTAGTTTATACATATAGCTATATGTACCACTTACAAATTCAATTTAGTACGATAATCTTCAAAACACGGTCATATACAAGTTCCTAAGTCCCAAATTTGACATTTTATCAGATTTAGTCTTTTTTGAAAACTTTCGGTGTTAGTTTGGAATTACATACTCGAATGACGCTTTTGATATAACAACTTCACTTCTTACTATTTTCTAGTAGATCCTGTCATCGACAGTGACATGTTTGTCCCACGGATCATTCGTTCTTTCGGAGTTTGTCTATATTACGTATCCCTTTTTAATATTTCAGTACCAAGTCTACAATCATTCTTATAAATTGAGCCTTCGAATACCCGCATCAGACATGTCCCGAATGAAGTCGTACAGCTGTATTTTATGATTACTTACAACATACATCGAACTATATCTAATGGTAAGAAATTAATGTAGGCTAGAAAAAAAGATTCAATTGAAATTATTGGTTTCGAAAATTTCAATGGAATTAACAGTTATCTTGAGATGGATTAGTTTAACAGACGTTACAGAGTATGAACAAGTGTGTATATATGTCGAATTGTTTAAGGTTACTTGCGTTGAGATGCAAAACGTGATAATATGACTTTTTTTTTTAACACGTAGAATTTTTGCGTAGGATGAGAATGATGTGGATTGATTTAGATTCGTTCGCTTGGATGTTCCGTTCAGCAAAGACAAATTAAAATATTATCTAAACGTTCCTGTAGGTTATCGAAAGCTCGAGCAGATGACTTTTTCTAATTCTACCACCATCCGTTTTCTTAAACGTTCCTCTGAGAATCGTATCCTTTCAAAGCATCGTTCGAGCATAGGTCTAAATTAAAAAACATCGCATAAGTTAGTACATGTGACAGAATTCGCCAAGGAACTCGCAACTCTTCCAGATAACGATTCCTCGACGTCGGTTTTATCACACGCGACGATCAATGTGGCAGGTGGGCCGATAGCGAAAACGCGTAACGGTCGACCGAATTCCAAAATAGTACGACGTTGCATATATTTTCCTTCAGATTATCAGCGTGAAATTGAACTCCTGCAATTAGCGATAGCGGGGCCGAAGTGATTTCGTCGGACCCGCCTCTTCACGCGAAACCAAGATGCGTTCGCATAAGTGGGTCAGAGCTCGTAGAACTGGAGCGGGTTAGGCCAACCCACGCGAGCGCTTTTTGCTTCTTTGCCTGCATTCGGCGGCCGAGAAGTTCCACAGAGGTGCCTGGTACGCTTCTCCGATCCTCCTCTACCCCCTCTGCTAATTTTTGCCCTCTTTAGCCACCGATCGAGCAGCTCATTAACAGGGAATTTGATAATCATAAAATTTCTTTCCCAGGAATCTTAAAAGGGCAATAGGTCAGTTGATTTGCGAGGGAATACAGTTTTCTGGGGCAATTATTCGTAATAATCGCCGCCTTATTGATTTAGATGATATCGAAATTCTAAGCAAGGCAAAAATTTTAATGAAATATAGTTTCTATCATGCTTCATTCTATCATGTAAATATCTGCAACTGTCCTTGGATTATGCGTGAGAAACACTATTCCTTAACTCTGATTATTAGCATACATATGACAATCAGATGCAATTAATTGTTCTTACGTTTAAAGTGTACTAATCACAAGAGTAATACAAAATGTAGCTACAATGAAGTTATACGAATTGCAATAATAAACTTTTTAATTAATCGTAAAGTAATTCATAATATTATGAATTTAATATAATTTAATTATTAAATGAAACACATATTATGTAAAACAACTGGTTAGGTCCAGATTAGATGTAAAGAAAGCTTTGTGGATAGGAATTCGTCTAGGAGCCATGATTAGACTGTCAATTGTAGTAAAGATGGAAACTTTGTGTATGTTCCCTGATTGCCATTCTCGAAGAGAGAAATATATATATATAATATTCTTTTACTTGTAATAAAAATTATGGCATTAATTTGAGTGTGAAGGGGGGTCAGGTCTGGGTTAGGTGTGAAGAGGGGTTTGAAGGGCGAACTTGTGTAAGGGCCATGATTAGACTCCCTGTTTTATGAAAGGTGAAAGTTTAACTTATATATATATATATTGATACCTACAACATATTTTATATCTAAATCCATGAGACGGCCATTATTCCGAATAATTACCATATTTTTTTATTACATTCTAAATATCATTAATTTCCTATTAAACGTAACAAGACGACGACAATTAATCGCAGAAAGAAAAGACGAGTTTAATGTGCTTGTAGCCATTGAAAATTTTGAACGGTTGTCGTTATCGTCCAGCTCGTCGTAAGATCCACGAATTTCGTAATGCGACGTTAATTATACACCGGAAGGACGCGGTCATGCGATCTTATCCAATCTCGCCGAATAGTTGGGGAGCTTTAAAACGCTTTCAGGGCGCACGCCTGCGGAATTCTAGATTCCATACACATGCCTCGTCTCTGTCCCCAATGATGTTCAGTCGGAGTTTTGCTTCCGTCTCGTCGATTCGCTGTTGCCACGGAGGAAACACGAATTTCTATCCACTCGAGGGATATGTCGTCTCTGATCATGCGATATCGAGGGAATCGTTCCGTTGATCTGTTTCTGTTCGAAGCGGTAATCATAAATTAGAGACCGAAGTCGCGTCCTCTCTGTCGAACAGCAGGATGTTGATGAGGGAGCTTCGAAGATTCAACAGGTATTGGAAAAAAGTTCCGTTGGCGTAAATCGACGGTTATGGACATTTGTTTATGGTGTCTTTGCTTCGAACGCGTGATGATATATTGATTTCAATTTTCTGTTGGAAATACCCCACTGTAAATAGCTACGACATAATTTTGTTTAACGAGATCACAGGTTGATAAATCGCTTTCCGAACTTTGCAAGCTGATCCAGGATAAAGTAACGTCGACTTCTTCGGGCCGGTCCTTCTATCAACAAAGACTATTGCAATGAAGCGAAATTGAAGATCAACCGAGTGCATCTAGAGCAGAGGGGCTCGCAGACTCGTAAGCGCACTACATGAATGCGAACGATGAAGCGCCATCGAATTTGGAGCCGACCAGCTCGGAAAAAGCGGACAAGAATGAAGCGAAAGTCGTCGAGCTTGAACCCGTCGAGCCTGACGCAAAGCCATCCAGTGATTCCAACGCGACGGACGCGAAAGGAACCGAAGGTGTGATTTAAAGAAGCCATTTTACAAAATTATTAGAACTACAGCCTGTTGTACCAAATTCAATGATATTAAATGCAGTCGCAATAACCCATTTATTACTCGCGTTAAATGTTGATCGAGAGAAACAATTTTTGTTTATACGAGTCGAAATATAAACTAAAAATAAACATTACTGTATAATCTAATCTTGAGATCAAATATTAAATTCATACAGAATTTTCTTCTTTAGAGTAGTTTATATATGATATTAATTATTAGGTACTGTGCATAGAGAGTACTTGTATATGTTCTGTACTGTAACGTTTCACTATACTCCTTCTTTCTATAATTCAATTTTTTGTCATAATTGTTAATGAAATTTAGTTGCATTTTTGTACACAAAATTTGTACAAATTTCTGTTTTTCAAAGTTTTTTTTAAAAACAAAATTACAAAGCAATGAAACAATATTTGAACAATGGAATATTACACACATAAATATAAAAACTTGATCTTTTTGTAAGTTGAATGAAAGTTAAAATATCGACAAATTTTACGTTAACCGATAGACAATATAAAGTGTAATGTTTCATTATTCAAATTTTGTTTTAGTACTAATAAATTCTCAAAAATGCAGTATCTTTGCTAATACATCGAAATAATCCAAGTTTAGCAATTGGTCGAAAATGTTTAATACGAATAATAAATGACTTATAACGACTAGATTCGAAATCGTTGAAATGTTTTTTTAAACTGGATAGAACCCCATGCATTGTGATTTCGGTTCTTCGTTGTATGCAGAGAAAGCTGGCCAGTCTTTGGTATTACCCCCGACGCTTCACGAACGATTCATGCGAATTAAACAAATGGTCAAGGACGCCATGGCTGCTCGCCACACGTTCATGATTTACGGAAGGGCCCGAGTGGTTCGCGAATCTATGCTGAAGAGGGGCTGGTGCGAGAAGTTCTTCCGAAAAAATCCCAGTGGTACTCGGATTGGTGCTTAGCCCTCTTTTCTAAGGGTCGTTTCATGCTAAACTGGACACTGGTTAGAGTAATGTTTTAGATTTTTATAAAACTACGACATGATATAGTCTTTAGTGATATTTAAACATACTTCAAAGGACTTTTCAAAATTTTTAAACAGTATTAACTTTCCCTCGATAAATTATATCCGTTGAACATAAATAAAAGAAATTTCTATTAACCATTTTTTAAAAATAAGAAAATAAGTTTGATAATTATTTATAAGGAGTTAGTAACATATATCATATTATTGTTTCAATGAAAGTAGTTCAGGTCGAACCTGCTCTTAGAAAACCAAATGATTTTTATTTCATACTCCCGGTGCCTTAATCGTAAGTATCAAGAAAAAGAGTTGGTACTTAAAAGTTTATAAAAATTTGTAAATATCCTTAAAGTCTACAGCATATCCAGGTTTCTACGAAATCCAAAATGCTACTCTAAAAAGTGTTCGATTTGGAACGAAACGTCTCGCAAGGCTCGGTAATATCGACATACGACCAATGTTTTTAGCCGACCATTTTACGGTGGATTCGAGTCCTGTGGCATTGCTGGCCGGCATCGGTGATTTGAAGGATCAACAAAGCGAACGACAATTGATATCTAGAATGCTCAGCAACCACACCGTCGACTTTCTCTGGAACACAGGATCCGAGTGGCCCGGCTGGCCATCGCAGGACAACAAGAACACGATTTTCAACAGATACTGTCGAGCGGGATTCACGTCGAAGGTATCTGAAATGGCCTCGAACGATTTCTGCCTTCGCGCGAATAGTACATCGGACGAGGATAATACATGCTTCTAAGAAAATCGATTGCCTTAGGTGGGCTTATGTTCGAACGTAAGACAAATGCACTGGTATTACGAGGCTGGAGTGGCGAACACCCTTTTCCCGCGATGTTACAACTTATGCCAGGGCGATCAGATGCATGCTTTCATCGAGGATTTTCGGTGAGAGAATTAACAAAAATCCCAAAAATCGTTTTATCAATCGCTTTCATCAATCTTCCTCAGATTTAAATGTGCTTTCCAACTAATTTTACCTGAGTAATAATTTGTTTTATATGCAGTTTTGGAAAAACGAAATACATATATTGGGAAAGATTAAAACATAATCAAGATATCCCATCTAAACTAGACCACCTAAATATCCATTATCTAATAAGCCACTTGAATTTTTACTTAAAGTATTCTAAGATCTATAATTTTCCGTTAGATTCACGTGTTGTCTGAGTTTGTTGAAGTGGTTGATGAGCAAGATCGCCACCGAAGGTGAAAACGCAGTTAGATCGCCAACCGGTACGATACCCCTGAAGGCCCTGGAGTTCGCAATTAAACGATGCAGCGATTATATCAGCGCCCAGTCCCACGAAGACATTGATCAGGAGTCGGAAAGAGTTTGGGCCCATCAATGGGACCAGTTTATCAGTTGGTACTACCAGGTTGTTCACGGTCAAGCTCTTTTCGTTCGGAATAGCGTGCCTTTTCAAGTAAGCGGTTGATCGAATCGTCGTCAAGTATCGACGGAGAAACGATATTAATTAACCATGGCGTGAACAGAAATTCTTCTTGGCAACGAAGCACATTTTGAAAAAGATGAGGAAGTATTGTCCGCAAATCGACATGGACGGCACTATGAACGTATGGATCATGAAGCCCGGGAACAAAAGTCGGGGCCGAGGAATCGTCCTGTTGAACAAACTGGAGGACGTCATGGCGAAGATGAATCCCTCGACCAAATTAGACACCCGTTATGTCGTGCAGAAGTACATTGGTAATCGATAGAATCTTCAAGTATGAGTATAGACCACAGCGTCGCGGCTTAAAGCAGTCAAATAGCCATTAGAACGATCGCGCTTTTTTAGGGAGTTCTCTAAAACCTTAAAAAAGTCATGACTACCAGGTACCACCAGTTCGATAACACCCTGTATTTTCCTTTCTTAGAGCGACCGTTGCTAATACACAGCACAAAATTCGACATCAGACAATGGTTCGTCGTTACTTGCGCTCAGCCCCTAACTTTTTGGATATACAAGTGAGTCTCAATTTATCAAAGTTAACCAGTCGTTCGTACATAGTTCTGCTAAACCATATGCATGCACGAATCGAACAAATAATTTGTTTCGTGATTTCGTGTCTCTGAATATCTAGGTCATTTAATCGGCGTACACAGGTCGCATTCGTCGTTAATTATCACCAATTTCATGCCCGGGTTCGTAACCAGGAAAAACACTGCCCCTTCATCCTATATTTAGAGCCACGACAAATCGGGCTGATTGCGAGCAAATCGTCCGCAGCCAATTACCGGTTATGAATTCGCCCCCTACGAAATTGATCTTTTCTAACCCAGTTTGCGTAAACCCCTATTGTCATGATGCGTCAGCTGTTCCTGGCGCAACGACACGTTTACGATCCGCCATACTTTCGGCCGAACATGAATTTCGGCAACACTTTCGAGAGAAATAATACAGATAACGTCGTCTTTTTCCAGGGAGAGTTACCTGCGATTCTGCTCGCAGAAATTTTGCCTAACGGACTTCCACGAATCGATTCACCTGTGCAATCACGCGATCCAATGCAAGTACACGAACTGCGGCGACAGAAACCCTGCGTTGCCTTCGGACAATATGTGGGACGTCACGACCTTTAAAGAGTTCCTCAAGTACGATTCACCTAATCCTAGAGTACCACTCTAAATTCGATATTTACCTGTAGGGAAGGTTGGACAAAACAGGGTACCTAGGATTTGACTGCTTGTCCTGAGTTTTCATATAGTAATTACTTGCCGTTTTTCGCAAACTTATTATTCAAAAAGAGCCAAATCTACTCAAAGAAAGTTTTGTTCGACTGGTAGGATCAAACGGGGTACTTACTTCAGTTAATAAAAGTTATTAAAAATCAATGTAAAAATGCCAAATTTCTATTTTTAAATGGTTTATACATAAGGTTTTAATTTATTACTATAAAAAAGTAATAATAACTCTATTGACAGTTTAAAAAGAACACGAATATTAGACACTTTTATTTTAATTTATTTTTATCAGCTCCACTGCACTCTTCGTAATCTCAATTTGCACAGTCTTCGCACTGTATCCAATCTTCGTTGCAAAAAAGACAGGCTGCATCATTTTCTTCATCTTCACTATTTACATCATCTAATTCCTGTTTATTGTCTGAGAATAATTTCCTTCTTATACTTTCCGACAATGTATCATTTTCTTGCTTTTCACTCTTCTGTTATCTTCTCTTTCCTCCACTCTTATTTTTCTACATATCAATATAACAACCCTGATGCCCTTGTCACATTCTGTACACCTTCGAGTCATAATTTCCCACAGTTTTCAATAAACCACCGTATAACAATATTAAAATATTTTTGCCAGCGTAATTCACATTTGAATGCAGCACAACTACATTACTTCTTGATAAAGATAATGTATGCATGGCACTGCAACGTACACTAGAGAGAGTTGAACGAATTAACTCCCAACCCGAAACGACGCTTGTGAGACACTAATGTTCCTAAACAAGAAGCATGATGCTCCAGGGTTAAATTTCATTACGAAATCAGCAGGCTGAAGTTTCTAACCGACGAAACTCCCAATAGGTCCCAGGGACATCATAAAGCGTGGGACGAGCTGATCTATCCAGGAATGAAGCAAGGCTTGGTCGGTACCCTGCTGGCCAGCCAGGAAGCCATGGATCGTCGGAAAAACAGCTTCGAACTTTACGGTGCGGATTTCATGGTCATGGAGGATTTCTCCGTTTGGTTGATCGAGATCAACAGCCACCCAGATATGAGCTACTCGAGCAAAGTGACGACGCGTCTGTGCAGACAGGTTCTGGAAGACACCATAAAAGGTCCACGAAGTGTTCGACTTTACAAGTCTCGAACGTGCCTCTTTTATTATCCCTCAATTTCGATTTTACAGTGGTCATAGATTTTCGGGAGGACAAAAACGCGGACACGGGACAATTCGAGCTAGCTTACAAGCAAAAAATGCCCAACTGTCAGCCGTATTTGGGCGCAGCTTTGTCCCTCCAAGGCACTCGCATCATAACGTCCGAGAAGAAACCTGCTCTCAGCACTCAGGACTCGAAAGTTAGCCTTGTATCGAAGTCTCCGATGGTGAGCAATAAACTGCACTCGAATTTCCCACGAGCACGTAAACACAATTGCATCCACAGACGTGTTTCGCGAAAAAAAAATCGATGGTGCACAATCAAATCGGTCCGGTGATCGTCGATCTGATCGAAGAATTGGAGATTCAGCTCGATCAGGAATTCTACGCGTATTACAAAGTGGAGTCGCCTAAGTTGAGACAAACGTTACCGTCAACGGCGCCGTTGAAATCCTTGAAAACGGCTGTGTTGGTCGATAAACAGGAATCGACCGCGAAGAGTGCTCCAGCTAATGGCTCCTACAACGCCAAAACGAAGTCACCCGGTGTGATTCAGGTAAAAATGATAAATACGATCAATGATGGAATTAGTGATGGGATTTGGAATGCTTTGAATTTATAAAATGAAAGAAATGAAAGAAAGAAGAATACTTCGAGTCTGTATTGCGAAGCGATTTGAAGTCCCACCACTAAATGGAATTATTTCACTAACAAGATTCGTGACTTTTCATCCGTATCTCGCAGAATAGTCGAATAAATGACAAAATCGGGAGTAATCAGAAAACCGTGACGCGGACACCCAGAAAATCGCGGGCTCTCACTGCATCGACGAACAACAACAAACCGGAAACCTCTCCCGCCAGACAAACTTTGCTCTCGAAGATTATAACTATTCAGAAACAAGCGCCGAAATTGACGTCGAAACCCGAGAAGCCTGCAATGAGACAAAATCAAAATAAGGTACGTTCAGTTTTCTCGTGGAATATTTACTCCTACTTGTTGACACTATACTCTTGTTGACGTTTATCAGATAATTAAGACGGCGGTGCGAGACGTGATTAAAAAGTACAAGAAAGGTGCTACATTGCCAGATATTCCACTGGAAGTACCTGCGCTATCCACTTCGTTAACAACACCAAATAAAGGCAACGACGCCATCGCGGCGAAAAATAGAAATCGCAACGTTCCAGCCAAAAATATTCGTCAAAAGAAAACCAAGGTGCTGACCGATATTACAGACATGTACGCTGTTGGCTTGAGGTTGACTAAATGAGAGAGAAAATGAAAATCTTTACGAATCCGCACTCGTTATTCGTTGTCTACGACTGTTGTTAGATTTGTTCTCGAAGTCTATATTTGAAATGTACCTGTGTACATGGCCAATAAAGAATTATCCTACCAATCGTTACCTTCGTTCAGTCTTTTATTTGTCGGATGGTTTCGGTTTGTGAAAAATTTAAAAAGAGCACCGTGTATGATCTATCGAAACAAAGCCCGATCAATTTGCACCTGGCATTATGTTTCGACGCGTTTAAATTTACCATCGTCGATGGCGAATTGCTTGAAGAAAGCAAAATCGTACCAGTGACAGTCAGGCAAATGGAGAATCCCCGTTATCCAGGTATCCTCCTTCGGGTTTTATGTTAGACTACGAAAAAATTCAGAGTTACACGTTGTTACTGACCATACTTGTCACGTGGAATGGAGTGCATAGACTCGTTTCCGACCTCTGGAAATCCTGCATACGCGGTGCAATCTTTGGCCGACGATAGGAACATTGATACCGTTCCCAAAAATGACAACTTTCAGTGCACGTTCTTTCGACAACCTAAGAGCAAGTTCGCGGTAAGTAAATGTATGTAGGTTAGCCCACAGATCGAACTGTCTCTATCTTTATCTTATCGTGGATGGCGGTCAGTTGAGAAACTATTCACTGAATTACTATTGATGGGCAGTATTGTATGCGTAAATATACGTTAGTTGATTATGGGAGGGATTAAAAAAGGCAGTCTAGTATTATCAGACGGCAGATTGGTGTAAAAAGCAAACTGCTTCTCCACTTATACACACTAATGCAAAGCCACCTTGTATATGAGTTTTAACGCTTCGTATAGCTTCGGGAATTCGAGAAAGAATACGACGATATAAATTTATCGGTCTATTAATAGCGTGGAAGATACTGCTCTTTAACACTAAACCTACTTTCATGTATATCCATTCCTACCATGATCGGTAAAATGACCAGTCTTTCTTTTTCTCTTTTACGAGGCAACGTACTTCTAATTTTTGTATTATATGTATAGAAAGTTGAATATTCGAATTTTTTTAATTTTCATCGGATACAAGATAAAACGTCCTCGAATACGAAATTTGTTCCAAGTCGATACCGTAGTTAATTCTAGAGAAAACAACGATTTAAGAAAAAATACTGGCTAGTAATTACGCAAACATCCTGTATTTAAATACATTTTCAATTAAATAAACAATTTATGGTCCAGTTTTATCGTACACTAGTCGTAAGATCAGTAGGAATTACTGAAACTTCTTTGGGTATGTAGAGTCAAAGTAAATGTTAAAATAAACATGGAAAACAGCATGAATAATAATAGTTGATATGCTCATCGGATAGAGGAGGAAATGCCCTTTAAAATGAGCGTTCGAACATGTCGATAGCTTTATTAGTTCCGGAGATATAGCGATTTTAGTTTCGCGTCGATGCGGTGGCTAGTTTCGGAGATAGGGTTTGTTTACGTTTCGTTGCGCGCTCGCGAGTTCATTGATCTCGCGCGCGCGACAATAGTAAACAGTTCGTAGTAAATTCTTGGAAATACTACGCTGCCGAAACTGGGTCACGGCAGCCACGTACGCGGGGTAGCGCCACGCACAAGACAAGGAGGTCCGACTCCGCTAGACGAAGACAGAGACAGTTGAATTAAAAAAATTACCATTTACATAAATTACGATATCTCCGAAACGGAAAGTCGGATCGACAAAAACCAAAAACCACTTTAAAGGGGTGGCTTTGCCGCTTCTAACAATACCTCAATAATTAATAAAACACTAATAGTTTCGAAACTGCACGCGTCTAAACTTTTACTATTTTTAATACGCGTTTAATAGCCTTTTCTAAGACGGGAAGCGAGAGACAGCGAAATTTAAAAAATTACCTTTTACATAAATTACGATATCTCGAAAACGGAAAGTCGGATCGACAAAAACCAAAAACCACTTTAAAGGGGAGGCTTTGCCGCTTCTAACAATACCTCAATAATTAATAAAACACTAATAGTTTCGGAACTGCACGCGTCTATAGTTTAACTATTTTAATACGCGTTGTTAGACTGTTCTAAGACAGTGGAAACTGTAGATTCTTTCCTTTCGTCTTTGCTATACATATATTTCCTATTTACATTAGACTTTAGAGGCTAAAATAAGACGAAAATCAAGAATACCAATTTGTTGATCGGGGCTTCGTTAACAAGTTATAAACGTTCAACGTTCCGACATTTAAATATAAAAATTAAATAGAGTCAATTTTGCATACACGCATATTTTGTTTTGATTCCGTTTTAATAAATAATAATGAATTTGGTACATTAATTATATGGAAAATATTAGTAAAAAAAAATTGGTCATGGAGAAAATAATTGAAATTCCCGGAATTCGAGATTCCGAATTTACGAATTTCCTAAAATTCTCGTCGAATCCCGAGAGCCAGGCATTACTTTTTTTGTCAGTTAGGTTCCCTTGACCTTGTTCGTTGCGATTGCAGGTCAAAAATGGCACCTGGCAGTTGTCGTACAGCAATCCAATATCGTCCAATCTTTCCGACAATTATACCGATTCGGACAGCGATTTCGCTGAAAGTATGCATAGCGAGCAATGGTTAGAAACGTTCTCGAAAAATTCTAGCCAGTACACGAGCGACGATGACGTTTCTCAAACCGAAACAAAGTATCTCGACGCGCCGAAAGTAACGTTTAACTCAACGATACGCGTCGATTCAAACGAAATCACGGGATACTGTCCAAGGAAACGACCAATAAAAGGGGACGAAGGAGAAAACGACGCAACTTCTGCGAAACTTATGAGATCGACGGAGGAGAGGGAATGTTCGAAGGAGGAAAACAAACCAGTTGACGAAGAGAACTGTGAAAACTATGAAAATCGGACGACGTTCGAGAATGGAACATTTCTGGAAGAACATGCGAATAATAGCAAACTCATGCGTGTACTCTCAGGTAAAATTTTGTGAAATTCAAAGGCGAACGCGTCCGTTCGGACGATAATTGGGATAATAATTATGTGGTAGCTACACGGAACGTTCTGCACGTGAACAAGAAATCCTACGAACTTGCGAACGTCGCGGCGAGCAACGAAGCTACGTCCAAAGAAAGGAAGACGATCGAGAGTAGAATTGTTAGGAACAAACGTTTGTTAAGTTCCATGAAAGAAGTAATTCGTACAATGGACGAGCCAAAACCGGGCTTGGAATCCGTCCAAAGCATTGAGCCGGGGAACCATATTGCGGAGACTACGGTCGCACGTGCAGAGGACGGTGAAAAGTCGGGTCGAAGTTTGAAAGAAATTTCAAACGATTCGGAAAATCGCGAGATGCACGGATCGATTTTTAAGAGTCCTAAATTAAAGAAACATTTGGACGAATCCATGCTGGAGGCTATGAAAAAATACAGAACATGCGAGAACACGTGGGAAAAACTGAAACGACAAAAGTTAGCGTTGCAAGATTTTCCTGAAAAAAAGAATCCTGTTTCCTGGCTTCCTCTTCAAAATTGTTTCGCATCGTCGACGTATCTGATTCACGTTTGACAGACCACGAGATAACTATGCTCACGTGTCATAATTGAAAACCGTGAACATGCAACGATATCGAACCCCGTTTATCGATTGTCGAAATGCAAACTTCAATTGGTGTATCACTTTTCGAGAAAAATTTTGCAAAATTGGCACGTGAAACGGGAACACCGAAACTAACTAAAATTTGGACGCGAAAAAGAAACTGAAATGAATAAAAAATGTTAAAATATACAAATTTATTGCCGGTTGTAAAAATGAACGATGCCTCGCCGAGAAGACTGTACGATTCTTTTGGAAAATAACGATCCAGTAAATTCGATTGCAGATTCTAAACATGGATTCTCGTGCGACCAGGAGAATTTCACAGAATCAGAAAACGAAGAATACAACGCGGAAAGTCAAAATGATACGAAGACTATTAACACGCGAAAATGGCAAATCACGTTAACCACTAAGGATTGCGCGATTAAAAAACGTTGTCAAGGTTGGCAGGTACGAAAAAGATATATCCTCAACCTATTATATAAATAAGATAATTATTTGATCAAAATTGTTTATTATTTAATGCACAGTTTAAAATTTATATATGAAAACTTTTTCTCACATTTTTATTATACAATTTTACAATTTTTTACGGAAATAAACGAATATCAGTAGTTTCTAAACAATCAGTCTAAAATGGTTCAGTTGATATGAATTTCCATATTCATGATAGTCATACAGACATGTGAATGCGTAGATCTTTCAATCATGAAAGCATTCAATTCTAAGAAAATATTGCAGTTATGAAAAATGTCTTTGAGTGCTTCTTTTGGTATCAAAGGAAGCTGTCTTCTTGCTCACAAATAACGTTTTCATGATAGTCATGCTAGGAGCCACGAAGTCCTGAACAGTGCATAGTGAAATAATCTTCTTCAAACATTCTGTTTAATAAATCTCAATTTCATCTTAAAAATTTTGTAAATCGCAGTATTATTTTTCAAACTAAAAATATTGAATAGAATACTTGACAACAACTTGTAACAACATGATCGAGGAGTGGACAAGTTACGCAATTTACTTTGTTAATGCAATTAATTATTTCGTCATGTTTCTTGTAAGATATATCCAAACGACACGAAAAAGGCCGAAGAAGTGTCGCAGCTAATTTTGAGACTCACCGACTCGAAGATGAACACTCGAACAATTACGGGCTCGGAGTCCGCGAAAACCGCGAATGCAGAGATTCTCTGCAATCGCGAAGATCTAGACGACCTTCTCGGGGAGGAAGACAAAGAAAATGAACATGGCCACGGCAAGATCGTCCTGAGGGAATATTTGAAGCTTCTGACCACTGAACAAGCGAAGATCAGTTTTATCCTAAAAATGCTGACGAAAGCGGTGAACGAGCATAAAATTTTTGTGATTTACAGCACATTTCCAGTGCTCAGGAAGCCTCTGAGTAAAAGAGGCTGGATCGAGAAGAGATCTATCAGGAGAATGCTCTCAATGTCTCCGGAAATGTCAGAAGGTGTTTAAGTTATTTCAAGTAGTTTTAAATCATATTTTTTTTCAAGTATAAGACGAACCTTCGTCAAAATCTGGCATATGTCCTTATAAAAGAGTTATTACCATATAAATTTATACTGAGATGATTTTGCAACATTTCAATATCTTTTTTACAGTTTACTTTTTATCTGTACGCTGTCTCATTTACTCCGTTAGTTTCATGAATTTTCAACGTTTTACGTAGACTAATATGAAGAACTTTAATATCTATTTCTGTACATATTTTCCTTGTATCGTTTCAAAACGATAATTTATCTTGAAGGCAGAAATTTTCATTTTGTTTTAGGGGATCGTCATCCGAAAAATGTTGAAACTACTGCTCTTTGAATATGTTCTTTGCTTTCAGCTGGTCTGGAAACGATCGAAAAACTATTACGTTGCCCCGCAGACTTTATATGGTACACCACTAAAAGAGCAGCCGTGAGAGCAGACGAAAGGACAATAGTCAATAAATTTTCTGGATGCTACTTCACGTCGAAGGTCACTTTTGTCTACGATTTTCTATTCATCGTCGTGTCGCAACACGAAATTAACGTCGCGACAATTTCAGGTCGACATGTGCAATAATTTGGAGAACGTTAGTTGGTTCTACGAACCTGGCGTGTCGAACATTCAATTCCCACGGTGCTACAATGTTTATCAGGTTCGTAAATAAAGTCTGTCGCGTTAACACTTTAATGAAAACTGTTGTGTTAATGTAGCCTGCACAGATCGAGGAGTTCGTACAGGACTTTTACATCACGGCCTGTATGGGAATTCTCAAGTGGTTCTTATTTCTGGCCAGCGTGGCTGGACCGAACGCCACTTGGTCTTCGAATGGCTCCGTGCCCATATACGCCATTTTGTTCGCTCTCGAAAGATGCACAGACTATATAAGGTTCGAGAAAATTAAATTGGGAAATTCGATTTCTCTCGAGCGAATTCACGAGTAAGATTAAAATTACAGTGTCTGCTCGCACGAGGACATCGACAGACGAGATCGCGTAGAAGTATCGAACTCCGATTGGAATCAATTTCTGACATGGTACGATCGATTTCTGCACAAGCGCGAGGTATTGCAAAAAAGTGACGGAATAGATATCGAGGTACGGCATAAATGCAGCTAATTATCGAAACGATCGTTATAACGGACACTTTATGCTAGGAACTCGTCCCATACACGGCGAACACGCTTAAGGATATGATACAGTGCCGACCTCAAAGTCGCATTGATGGAATGCGGAATGTCTGGATTATAAAACCAGGCGATAAAAGTTTGGGAAGAGGTATAGTCCTTAAGAACTCGTTAAACGATATCCTGGCCAAGCTGAATCAGTCTACGAACGAATGCATGCAATACGTCGTGCAAAAATATATAGGTGAATTTCTCGGTTGCTAATAGCAATTGTTATTTTTTGTTGAACCATTTATTATTTTTAGAACGACCCTTGCTCGTTCACAAAACGAAAGTCGATGTTAGACAATGGTTTCTGATCACCAGCACGCAACCCCTCGTCGTCTGGATGTACAAGTATCGATATTAATTCCCCTCCATTCTTTAAATTTATCATTTACCAATTCCCTCGGTTAACCGTTTACTTTCAAGGGATATTCTGCTGCGTTTCGCGTCGAAAGATTTCACGCTCGAGAATTTCCACGAATCGATCCACTTATGCAACACGACCGTGCAGCTGAAATACAGGAAAACATTGCGACCGAATCTACAAATACCCAGCGAACTTCACTGGAATCTTCAGAAGTTCAAAGAATACTTGAAGTATGAATTTAATTCCGCACTTGAGATACGAGTCGGCTACTTTATTATTCTTTTCCGCAGGGCTACCGATCGGGAATCGGCTTGGGAGAAACTCATCAAACCAGGTATAAAACAAAACTTGGTAGGGGCACTTCTAGCGTCTCAAGAGAATATGGTGAATCGAAAAAATAGCTTTCAATTATACGGCGCCGATTTCTTGATAATGGACGACCTTTCGGTTTGGCTGATCGAGATCAATACGAACCCCCGATTGCACCCCCCGAGCAGCTCTGTTACAGAGAAACTTTACCCGGAAGTTATAGAAGACACGATGAAAGGTAATGAAATGAAATTGAAATTTTGTAATTTACAAACTATGCGAAGCACGATTTAATTAATTGAAAATTTACGTATATTAAAAGTGGTTATAGATCGACGCAAAAACAAGAAAGCACCTCGCGGTAAATTTGAATGCATTTTCAAGCAACGTAATCCATTTTACGGCAATATTCTTGGAATGGCGGCGACCCTCGGTATTCGAGGCAAGGCCTTACTTTCGCCGCAGGCTCCATCGCGAAAATGATAAATTCTTATAAGTGACCCACCCAGATGTAAAAAAAAAAGAAAGTAATTAGGAAATATAAAACAGTAAAAGGTTTAATAAAAACGTGTTTATTTTACAAACAATGTCGTAGGTATACAATCCTATATGAACAGATGGTTTGTTTCTGTGGTATTAATACACATCTATACACGACTGCGTACAAGACACTTGTTCATGGTTGCATTCATACGTCTCTACACGTACAAAATCCATTCGACAGGTCGTTTGTCTTTTTCTTATTGGCGTTGCTTCTTACTTTAATTTTGATTAGAAAAAAATATTCTCATTCAGTTTGGCAGAACGAATTCCGCATTAAATCCTAGCGATGTGCATGATCCGGAACAAGTTTAGCACAACATACTAAAAGACACTAGTCCTCCTTTTATTATTGCTTGCACGAAATTGGTTCGTACGGTTACGTGTTACAGCTGCACATAATCGTCTACTCACGTAGAAAATGCATTTATGTTTTTTTCTTTGTGTTTAAATTACAAAATCTATTCAGTCGCGTTAATAATACGACCGTCTCAGAATTACCGACCGTCATCGAGTTCGGAACGCGAATTTAATACGAGAGTCATGTTTCGTTAATATGTCTAACTGAAATAAAATTATTATTTTCTGTATAATATAATTACAGAGAAACCGCATTATATAAATTGCATTTGCAATTTGTAGAACACTCCTAACTAGGCTGGACCACACTTCTATCAAACAGATCAAGCGAACTGGCAGAGATTATTAGTACTGTGATACGTAAAAAAATTTACAACATGTATTAAGATAGATATAATCGTACACGATTCTATTATTATATATTTCCGCGTAAGAAAATGCTTGTCCGTGTCGATATCAGTGTAGTCTCTAAAAAGTTAAGATCCCATCTGTATCGGGGTCCAAAATCTGGCAAGCATAGAATCGGTTATTCAATTCTGATGTATACACGATCATCATAATTGAATAAGATTCAACATTGTCGGATTTCGGCGATCATCGTAAATACATTCGGGTGAGCTTTGGATCTTGTCGCTGCGTTATTTCTGTACCTGCGTACGGCGCAGCATACGACGATTGTTCGTACGGAATACAAACGATTCCAAAAAAACCGACAAGATGTATAAATATCACATGTAAAACTGCACGAAATGAGACAGACTCACGTAATTGGCTTTAGCGTAAAGGACAATTTAGGCCTCGAGTTGTTCTTCCCGAGAATTTTTTTTTGCTCCTCTTTCACGCGTTTTTCATGTTCTTTCCTCATTCTTTGCCTCTCTTCTTCCATCAAACGTTGTTGTTCGACCATGGCCAACCTTTCCTCAGCCTATCGACGGCAACAAACAAACCAAAAGGAAATCAGTGTAGATTAAAAACACCGTTAAACAACTTTCGTCTGATGGCGATGCCCTACCAGTTTCTTTTGAGCTTCTTCTATTTTTCTGTTGTTCTCCTCCACGATCCTCTCTAGTTCCTCGCGCTTCTTCCGCTCTTCCTCCTACAACGACAACGGAATCTATTTACATGAAGCAATGATGGTGTCGCTCACCAGCTGTTGTTACACCATTCATATCCAAAATCATAGTGCCGCTATATCAACAGCCTAGTGTTATACATCCTAAGAACCTTTTTCTTTTATATAGGAAAAAATGTAGTTGGGATAACATGTGAAATTTTGAGATCGGGTTTCAAAGAATTAGGATGGCTTGTCGAGTGAATGTAACAGAGGACGCATGTGAACCCAGCTCCTTCGTTTGGATCAAACGAGCTCCTCTTAGTTCCCAGCGAATGCTGTTTATAGTCAGATTCCCCCAGATGGAAATACGACGACTTAGGATGCCACTTAAAAGTGAAAAAACGTGAATTATGATTCTGAATCAATCCACTGTGCATGCAAACGGATGTACAGAATAATTTATGACAGGAAAAATTTCCTTTCTTATAACGCGACACGACAGCGTTTGTTTAAAGTGCAGGATGAAGTCTAAATTTGCAGGTGTGAGTACTTTACGAAAAAAAACAAAAATAATAATAAAAAAAAAAAACTTACTCCTTTCATGGAAAAATAACGTACGTTCGCGTATTTTTGATATAATGACTGATGTGCATCTGAGACAAAAAGAAATAGGTAAACGTATTAAAAAAAAAAAAAAAATATTTACGAACGAGAGGTGCCATCCGCCCCGACCTTGTCGACGGAATTCACTGTGTCCCAGGCACTAATATTTACCAAATCTAAAATAATCCCTAGTATGGTCTTGCCGATACATAGCGTTTAAACAAAGAATGATAATAATAATATTGGTATAAAATGAATTATGAATATATAAATTGGATAATACCTGAATGAAGCTCACGCCAGCACGTAGGGGATGCCTTCTTCATCGACAATCACTCAGCAGTGAGTAAAAAACCGGCATCTTCTGTTGGTAGTCAGTAAGGAAGGTGACCTATATATTTGCTAGGTCGTGCTTTGTTGCTATGGGATTCTAATTCTGCCCTTTAAGGTCTACATCTCCCGTTTCTAATTAAATATCTCTCCCAAACTTGTTCACATATTCAGTGCAAACTCAATGTGCAAAGCAATAAGGATAAAAGTATATATGGTCAATTTGTAATCAGGGTCGCTGTCCATTTGACCGGAACGTGCTGATTTCCCGAGGGTGAGAATAAATAATTGTGCACATACACAAAAAACATGGCAGAAGAAAACTCCTAGTCGTATTTGAAGGAAAACGAAATATGTATATATATAAATAATTAAAAAAATGAACTCGGATATACATTGCTCGCTAAATACTTAATTAAAATCGGTGCCAATTAGATCAAATAACAGGACCCCTTTTTGTAACTTGTTGAAAATTAACATACTAAATCGGTTAAAGTTGGAGTTCGAAATTTCAAGTTTAAGAACAGAATAAATTACTTTTATTTCATTGTTAACTCTCAATATATTCTGCATATCGTCGAACGCATGAAAAAAACGGACAAAGATAACAAACAGGCTAAGTATAGTTTTTTCATCCCTAAATCACGAGGCAAAAATTAAATACAAAAGTGAGAGAAACAAAATTTGTTATGTACGTAAAAAATAACAGCTATTAAAAAAATAGAATATTTTTAATCCTACAAATAGAGAAACTTTGTTATCATTGTACGGCCTAAATAAAATTAAAAAAGTGGAAAAATTACGCAAATGTCTCCTTAATAATAAAGTTTAATACAGTTCTCGTGGAACGATTCGACAATTCTGTAAATCTACCTTATTTGACTGACAGCAACAGCTATTCAGGGAAAATTATCACTTTTCTATGGTTTCATAGAAAAAAGTAACTTTATTTCAAACTTACGATGGTTTTTTTTTTCTTCTTAGAAAGTTACAAAGTTTGGGATCGCTAACTTTAGTTATTCGGATGCGTTCTTCTCTACTCCTTAAAGACTGTACGATGCGATTATGTGGACATTCACATACGCGGATATAAACTAGACTGATAAGTAATTAGGTCTGCTAGATTGACAGGTACAACGATCGTAAAAATTGCGAGCAAGAACGTAGAGAACGCGTTCGAACGCAATTTTTCCAATATCGGGTACAACTGACAATCAAGACATTGTGTGATGAAAGGTATTAATGTTGTACAAATATATAAATATATACATGGTACAAATACAATATTCTGTTCATAAATAACCGATACATGCGCCTATAATAGCAAAATTCTTGCCATAAGAGAAAGTATACCTTCCCAACAACGCGACCTCAGTGGATGCTGGGAAGTCGAAGCAGTGTGGCTTTTCGATAATATCTTTCTCATAGGTCTCAACCACAATGCTTCAAGCCCAAACGCTGTGATCGCGAAATAGAGAATTAACATAACACTATGTTAACGCGTGTTAATTTCATCATAGGTATGTCCAACTACTAACATTTATACAATCTTTTGGAATGTCCAATTAAAATTTAAAGACCCTTTACGTTGGTACATACAAATATACAATATCCTAAACATTATGCTTTTAAAAACATTTAAATTAATGTGCACCTTACCCCAGTCAGACTACAAAATTTATTTAAAAATTTTTTATAGTTATATATTTAATTCATATTATAACTCTGTTTCCACCAAAATAGATTGCTTGTTTAAATATAAAAATAATGCAAGGATAGAGCACCAGACTTATTTCCTGTTGATCGTAACAGCGCTTGGGCTAACACTGGCCAATGTTTCTCTGGATTGGTCTTACCTCTCTTCGTTTTTCCTCCTCACGAAGTTTTTCTTGTCTCCATTCCATTTCCTCCATCATTTGACGCTCCATAGCCCTTTTTGCTTCTTCTACTCTCCTTTGTACTTCAGCTTCTATTTCTTCCTTACGCTTTTCTAGCTCTTCTTCCACCCTCTTCTGCACTAGCTCCTCGATACGTTTGGCAGCCTCCTCCTCAACCATTTTTTGCTCTACTTCACGTTGCCGTCTGCAAACACAGAAATATTTTGTTGTTCTAACGCTACAGAGGTAGCGAATAGTTTTCAAACAAGTTACATAATACGCCGTTTTAATCAAACTTATTACATTAATCGATAATACGCTGGTATAATGTATGCTAATTAAACTAAACGGAATGTATTTTCAAGTTTAGATCCAATGCGTTTTTACATATATTTCATACAATAATAGAACGTTATTTATCAAAATCCTGTATGCTTATATATGCGCAAATACAATACTATAAAACCACCACCATGAAATAGTGTTTCAATCTTACCCAACTGCGCTCGTGGTGAAGATTTTGTTCGATAATTCTTTCTTTTTCCTGACAACATAATTACAAATAAAAAAACGTATACCAATACAAATGAAATATATAAGATAATTTTGATCATATATTGTTTAAAAAATAGTGAACTGTATGTCCAGATTAAAAAATTTCATTTATATTATAACATAGAAAATATATATATATATATATGTATATATATCAGAAAATGCAATACAACACACACAATGCAGCTGCCATATATACATGCCTTAAGCCTAGTAACTAAAAGAAAAAATAATCTAACAAGGCATTCGCTTTAATTAAATCTTTCAGTTTGATTACGTAAAGTGTAAGATAAAAAGCCTTAATTACAACATAACAATTATAATAGAGGGACATGTAAAGCACAAAGAAAGGGAATTATGTTGTATCATTTACCTTTGCCGTTCCATTTCTGCTAATCTCTCAACTTCATCCATTTTGCGATCCCTATCTCTGTACGTACGTTTCTTGTGACTGACAATATGCACATCGTCTGAAACATCCGAGCCTGAACTAGAAGATGCAGAATGGGACCGTTTCCTGAACAAACAAACAAATACACTCAAACTGCATCTTGCAGCATAACATTGGTGAAACAACTAACATGGTAAATTGCATAAAACTGATGAAGCAAATGCAACATTTAATAATAGGAAACTATTAACTTGCGACGCACTACAGTATATACAACGGTAAAAGACGTAAATTCTAACAACATATATTAAAGCGTACAAGGCTCTCCCACCAAGTGTGTATGGCAAAATGGCGGAAAATTGAATAAAGTCAAATAATTGCAACATGCACGCAATCAATAGTAAAGTAAAGTATATTACCTTGACTTTGAACTGCGTTCTTTTGGCTTCTCGGAGTATTTATTGCTAGAGTGCTTCTCTCGTGATTTGGAACGTTTCCTCGAGTGTTTGCTCTTATGACGCCTCCTACTTGGAGATTTCGTCCTGGATCTGGAACGGCCCATTTTGACGAGTTTTAAGGTCCTTTTAGAACACTCACACACAATACAAAGACTATATTACAAACGTGATAGGTAATTGCACTTAAAAATAACCGAACACCACGCGAACACTGAGAATATAACAAACCAGCCACTGTTAACGCGCACACTGCACCACTGACTTATGCTTGCTTATACCATAGCTTCGGCAGCCATTTTTAAATTAGTATTTCAAAATGGTGCACGGGTTCGAAAACTTTCTGTACGCGATGATACTTTTACAGCGAAATTTCAACAAAAATATAGGTATATTTCATAAATAATACTATACTTATTACGTAAAAGTCTTGCTGGTACTTCTATAAATATTTTTGGTAAATAGATTGACTTGACAATGTGTAAGTTTATGTATTTTAATTATACGGTATTGTTTCAATCCATATTTAGCCAATCACAATACAGCCGCAAAACCGTATATTTTTCAATTAGATAAATAGATTATTATACTATTAAATCTCATAATAAAATAACATGGTTGTATTCAAAATTTAAAGTAATTGTGAATTTAAAAGATACGTTATCTAAAATATAATTTCAAGCAATATTATAAGTTTAATTACAGGTTATGGTTAACATTATCGTGTACTTAATCAAAGGAGAAGCATATAAATTTTGTGTTCATACAAATTTGAGTTCAGATTTCTTCTAGGTGCAGAAGTATGGAAACATGGCGTATCAAGATTTGATTTTTACTAATGTGTACGCAGAAATAAATAATACATGGTAATGGTTATGTTTGGTTTAGCCGCTATAAGCGATCAAAAGCGTTGTTCCCTTTGGCGCTCTAAGCGCTTATGCTACTAACGTCATTGTTACGTCATAACTCGTGTTCATAACGTTTATGCATTTCGTCAAACTAGAGCAGCAAAAGCGTGTGCACTTGAAAACGTATTTCCCGTTTAAATTTAAATGTATATCCAAGCACAAAAAAGTAATTAATAATTTTAAAAGGGGTATTCTAGATGCTTTTTATTTTTATCAAGATTACGATTTTAAGCATAAATTGAGAATAAAACAAGAATGGTTGCTATATAATAGCCCAAAAATGTTGTACGTATACTTTATCCAATTACCAGAATTGATCAGAAGTCAAAAAGCAAAAAAGATATTCAATAAAATATTAACTATAATAAAATAGAAATATATGTCAATAATTTTGAGATGTAAAAATATGCAGAGAATTATTAGTTTGTTTTTTTGAAATTTTAAAACATTATTTAGCGAAAGTTCTGAGATATCTATTTCTAAATAAAAGGATATTAAAACACTTTTACAGTCTTCTTATTCTGTGTATTATTATCACCTGTTTGCTTGTGCTAATAATTTTATGACTTACTTTGATATCACTTAGTTGACGCTGTATTTATTTTGTTCATATCAAGAGTATGAAATTAATACAAAGCATGAATAAGATACAAATAGCATATACAATTATTTCAAGTACACAAAATGTTATTTGCTCATCATTTTCTGAAATACATGAAAATTATTATAGGGAAATGTATTACATGTTATGAAAAAATAATCACAATATTTTTTACAGTCTATTCTTAATAACATTTGTTTATAAAAGCAAAATTCTCGAACAATGCATGTTTGTATAGTGTAATTTCATGATGTACCATATATTTCATTGAATTTGATAAATGATACGAACATATGATGTTATGATACACACGCGACCAAACGTAACCTTAATTCAGCTGTTTTTAAAATATACCCATGTTTAAAATGCCGCAGAGGTATTTAATACGCGTACTATTTTGGTTTTATACATCTTAAGACGTAATGTATCAGCTTGATACACCATCGTTTACATTGAGCGTTTGATACTAATCATGTATGCACGTAATACTAGGTAAGGATAAATGCTTTCAGTACGTGAACAACTAAACCGAACGCACCGAAAGAACGCGACTGAAAAGTAGCTGGCGCTAGATGCGTTCCGAAAAACCACGGTGATCTGATGCCCAGTGACACCCGTTCACAGCTGTGTCGACGTCGCGCGCATTTCATTCGACTCGTTCCGCGACAGCAGAAACCAAGATGGCGCTCCTCTGTTTGCGGATTGTTCTGCGGCGGATATAAATACGTAAAAAAAACAGTGCGAGAAACGGTTCACGGTGAATTGGTTAAGTCGTGGCGATCGATGTACGCGTGTCGCAAAGTGACAGTCCGTTGGTAACGCGCCGCGATAATTGTGGGGCACGACAGCGCCGGTACATAGCCGCTGCGGTATTTCGAACGTCGGCGAAGGTGCTCTCGGTGCCCACCTGAGGAATGCCAGATTATCCTGGGCACGGCGGTTCGCTCGACAGAGGGATACGGTAATCGCGCGAGATATCGCGTGCGAGTCGACCGAAAGGTGTTTCGTAAGGTGCTCCCCCGCAAAGGTGTTCGGTCGTTTCTTCCGTGACGTATGTGTGTCGCGGAGGGCTACGAGACAGGTCGGTCGCGAGTGTCGTCGTCGTCGTCGTCTGGGTGCTCGTGTTTGGTGTGCCGCGAGTGGCGTTTTTCGCGGCTTCAATGCGCTCTCGTCCTCCCCTGGATATCTGGACAGGCGAGATCAGCTGCTGCTGGAATAACTAGCCCGGCGGCTCCGGGAGACGATACTCTTCGACAGAAGCGGTGGGGCAAGGTGGTGCCGGAAGCAGCCGCGAGTCCGGAAGCATAACGAAGAAGATGGCCTTCAACGAGGTAAGTTTCTTTACTGGCATCGTTTGTACGCTGCCTGTTTCGTTTGGGTCGTTCGATCCCGTGGGCTGACCTCGCGACCCCCAAACGCCAATTCTAACCTAACCTCCGTTACTGCGCAGCACAGCTGGCATGTTATCAACTCCCCTCCTTCCCTGCTTTCTGCATCTCTTCGTTCCCATCCTTTCCTTTCTCTGTCGCTGTGACCTACGTTTTATCAAAGTCTTCTTCCCCTTCGATGCATCCAGCAATCTTTCTTTTACATCGTTGCTCGTTCCCGTGAAACGCGCGACACGAGAGATGCGCCTAAACCAGCTCGAACGGACGTATTATCTATTGGTCGCATCGGGACATGTGAGATAATGTCACGCTGCCTGTCGAACAACCGTGCACTTTTCTTTTTTTTTTTTCCTTCCACGTGATACCAGAAACATCCTGACTCGGTTGTTAACGTATCGCGCGCGATAATTTTGTATCGCCTTCGCGCGGGAACGTTTCCGCGATCGGCGCAAACATCGATCCATTGTCGGTCAATGATGTCGTTACGTGCCTTTAAGTATAATCCGTAATCCGGTTTGTTTGCATCGATATGCGACGACGTGGCACAGTTCGCAGACGCACGGACCAGACTCGTTTTCTGATTCGCACGTTGCTGGTAATTTACAGTCTAAAAAGAAACGGAATCTCGTACGATTAGAAAAACTGTTGTTTTTGAGATAAACATTTATTAAAAACACGCTGTGGAACGTCGTTTGTGTCTCATAGCGGACGGTAATCGTAAGGTGTTTTTGGTCAGCGATACTCGCGTTTGCACAGGTTTGTTCTCCGATTTCGCTCACAAAGGAAGAACAACACGTGCCCTCGCGCGTCTGAACATAGAGTTTCAGCATGATATTGTAAACAATTACATCATAATCAAGCGACCCAAGCCGGCGATTCATAGCTACGTGAGCCCCGTCACTGTCGTTGATTACTTGCTGTTTCTGGAACGTTTTTCTGTAGCGATATTACGTAATCATATCCCATGAAGAGTCACAAGATACATATCGTGTTTCCACAATGTGAACGAAAAAAAGGGAGCATATCAATGTGTCCAATTCGGGTGCAAACAGTGTCAAATAAATTTAATCTGATTAACAATTATAGTTACTGTCTAATCAAACCGGTGGTTAATGATTATGGTCACTGAGTAACTAGTAATCATGATTATGAATAACACAAGTAATCAAGGCGACTATTATCATTGGATACGATTAACTCATTAAAATGTGCATATATATTTATACATATAATATACAAAATGTTTCTCATTATTTGATCGAGCTAATTTTTTAGGTTTGTGCAACATGTTTTTTCGTTATCTGATTGATTAAATATTTTATAGGAGTCATGTATGTATATTTATGAATGTTTTATTTTGTATAATCTACAGAATTTTTTATTTGGTTTTTTTGAATAAAGTTTCATCAAAATTAATTGTTATTTGAATAAAAATTTATTCTGCATTTGAAAATAAAATATTGACCATCCTGTATATTTGCAATTTATATGAATCTGTGTATTTGAAATTACAAATACATATGATGCATATGCAAAATACCAATGGAGGTTTATTATACTAATTTCTTATATCCTTTGGACCGTAATATGTATATATTTTAGTGACGCAAAGAGATTCGTTTTTTTATCTATTGAAAACTTTAGTAATATTCCAAACATAGTTTCTATTCCTAACAATATTTTATCATTTCAAACACACAGCTATTATTTTAAAAATTATTTCGTGAAATAGGATAACGTAATTGTGTTTGAAGAATTAAATAATTACAAAATGAAATAATAGATTATTTATTATGTTTAACGTTATTTAAAAAATGTACAGATTTAGATTATACTATTGGTTCTAATTAAAGGTACTGTAATCTTTATGCATTACTGATCTATGATTACAAATTAATCTCAGTGATGATTTTCATGATTACTTTTCGCAATCAGTTCCAAAATTAATCAATTACTGTCTAATTCTGAATGATGCATTGGAATGGCACGAGTTCCCGGAAAAACCGTATTGTACGTAGCACATTTCGAGGAACGTGTTATGGTAAATACTGTGCGGTTATCTGTCGACGTTTTGTCGCATAGTTTGGGGCTTAAGATTATCTCTTGGCCGTTTATCGTCGACGGTGACGCATATTGCGCGCGTCGCAATCGTACACGGTAGGCTACCTTTTATCGTGGCCGTCTATTTATTACTGCTGACTCCTCCGCGGAACAAAAAGAGCACTGGTCGGTAATTAATACGCCGCGATCAGATTTCGTTCGATATGCGACCATGTCGGTGCAATGCAAAACGGGGAAATGTAACCTGTAATCGTACGCGTGGACTCGCGTTTTTTTCGTTCACCCAGATTTATTTCTCTTCCCGTTCTAGCATTCTTCCGCAAAATCCAAAAAATTGTCATCCAAATACCAGGTGGTTCGATTAGCAGAAGTTTGGTGACAATTGAATCTATCAGAAATTAATGTGGCCAGTTGGTAGTTAATCCGTGTTATTTGCTCGTGCCTCTCAAGGGCGGCAAAGAAAACGGCCTTTGTATAATTTGCCTCGGGCGCTAAAACGCGCGACTACGGTGTTGCGTGTGCACGCTCACGAATACATGCGCGAGCTTGCGTGTAGATCATTCATCCGCTCCACGCGGGCTCTTTAAACGAGAAATTAATGAAAGAACGCACCGCCGTTTGTCATTAATTTTCGTGCATTACGATGCGTGCACTATTTCCTATAGTTTTCTGTCATTGAGTCCGCGCTTCTCGCTTTTCGACACTTTCGACGTGTGCCCGAGTCACGGATCAGGGTTGCACAACTTAAATAAATCAGCTCTGTTCGTCTTTAAGATAATCTCTTTTATCTTATATGCAGTACTAATTTGTACGCAAATCAATATCGAAACTTATAATTTGATCCTCAAGACATTCATCAGTACTTGTTAAACGTCTCGCCAAGAACGGATTAATTCATTACGAGTGTAAAAGGCACGATTTAAGCAACCGATTTCTTCCATCGTTGTACTTTGTACTTTTCCACAAATGATACACCGAATAACGTACATAATATTCGATACTATGATTGGAACAAGGACGTAAACAATTAAACACATTACAGTATTTTGTTCCTCAAAGTATCGCAAAACACTTCTTTCGTTAGAAATCTGTTTCTAAAATAATTGTCATTTCATTGTTAATAGAAATGGTTTCGTTAATAGCGTTAGTTTTCATTAAATTTTATCATGGGCTACGTTAAATCACTCAGCGAGGTGTATGGGGTGTATCCGTGTTTTAGATGGTTTTAGTTCATCGTAACGCAGAAAGTTAGTTCATTAAACTTACACACAATTCGCGTTGCACCTGCGCTTGAGCGCACAGAGGGACATCAGCCAGAGTGCAAACACCGATCTGTGAAAAAGGAGTAAAAGCGGTAGCCCTTACGAACAAAGACACCTGCTACCTGGTCATATCGATCGAGATGGAATATATACGAGTGTCCAGGACGGGATTCCGCCGTGGTTCTCCCTTCAAACAACACCCACTCGTTCGTTGACGATCGTACGGCTTCTTTCTCCCATATCGAACATTCGTGTTCTTTACAACAATGTGTTTATATACTTATTTTCGAAGCGTTTCCGTGCTTCAGCGCGATCCATTGGATCCTCGATTTCGCGGTCCTTTAAACTTTGAAGCACCCTATTCGAGTTAACGAGTTGCGCGACGTTCTTCTCGACGGTGACCATTTTATGTTCACATCCTTGTCTACACCTTTTTTTATATTCTTTTAAGTCAAGTGGCTTCAACGTTAGTTATTAGCGGTAGCAATTGAAATCTCGTGATGTTTTCAAAACGTTATTCGTAATTAGCATAGATATTATTCAGTCAAACACGATTATAGTACTGCCTCGTTTCTAGCATTAGTCTATGTTAGGAATACTTGGAACGTTACGATTTTATTTCTGTTTTTTTTTGTTTTTTCAATTTGAGCAATCGTTGACTTCGATTGTATAATTGAAAATCCCTTTGATTGGCTCATTTTGAGATCAACCAGATTCTAGAACAAAGTCTTGTCCAAACTCTTCAGCATAAAATATGGCAGTTTCGTACATTAAGAACGAGAATATGCAATATTGCCAATACACTTCGTAACTTTATTAACTTTTATAACTATTTCATTACCAGCAATCTATAAATCTGTACAATCCTGACTTCTTTTATTGTACTTCGTCAATTTCTTAAACTTCATATACATATGCTTGTTTCACGTCGATGCAGTACTGTATACTGCAATTAGCTCCAACACGTTGTGACCATTACTCACTAAATCAATGATAAGTTAAATATGATTCATACTTTTCGCAATTCTCAATAGCATGATAGAAAGATACGTTTAAAGAACAATTCTCGTGAAACATAACCGCTCGTGCACTCTCAAATTCAACTTCCACAATTTTAAAGGCAATAAAAAATTAAAAAAATAAATATTTTCGAGGCTTTATATTTTTAGTAAATATAAATTTTGTTTATCCTTCTAAAGCTTTATTGTACGATATAGCAATTCATCGATAACTAAGCCTAGAATATACAGCGTTTGGAAACTTCGTAAGAATGTCGAGTAATAATTTTTTAATTTCATTACAAAATATTGCTCCTGTTCCATATTGTTTTCTTCAACAACGATTCGTTTTAGATCTAAAAATGAACGATTGCACGAGAACACGGCGTGAATTAAAATTATTTTTACTTAGCTCGACCGTACACTGACCGAAACAATTAGAGGATCGTGTCCTCGATTAATTCTGCAAAGCTTTTAAAGTACTTTAAACGAGAAGTCACGCGAGTAGGTGGTTCTTCAATTATTCCGAGCGACGTATTCTCCGAGCGAAATTTACGAATCCGTGACAGAAAAGTGGCGGGCACGAGGGAACTCGTTTAGACTGCGTGGCTCGAAATTATGA